AAAAAAAAAAAAAAGGCAGAGAATAACCTCCAACGAACAATGATCACGAGGTTTTAAAAGAAAATCCCCACTGTCGAGTTTTATCCATAAGCTCACGGCTTCTAGCAGCTTGCCACCCAGAGGTGACGGTGCTACCCTCCGATCTACTAAAAGTTACGTGATTTGGACATCTTAATTAATTTGACCGTGGTAGTCTCCCACAGTAGTACAAACTCTAAATTTAACTGAATCTAAATTTAAACTGTTAGTATACTAGTTGCATTTCCCATCATTTGCACAGTCAAAATGTCATCACTACCAACACTTAAAAATAAGGAAGTTGTCAAGCCATATCTCATTCACATAGGTGATATCCCGGTTGTCTTTTTGAAATCGTTTCAACTGCACAATGTCTCTGGATCTCCAATCCACTATGTCCGGCCTTAGCACCCGTCGCTTTGATTGGCTTTTCTTACATTTGAAACCCATCGATTTCATAACTCGTAAAAAAGATTCTGGGCCCCAGAGATAATTAATTTTGTCTTTAATAACGGGAAGAAGCTTTTGCAATGTCGGCACAACCTTTTCGCGTAGAAATCCAGAAACGCATTTCGAATAATACGAGTAGTATTAGTAACTCTTTGCCATGATCAACTTTAATGATGTTTCACAGAATAACACTCCAGTCCTCGCGCACGCGAACTAGCCGCTCCGATGTTTTGGACCGTGAGAGGTGACTCTGGACATCAACTGATATCACTGCGGTGCCTCTGACCGGGAGGTTTTAGCGTTCGAGTTCCGACGGTGACAGAATTTTCGGTACTAGCTACATAGCTAGGCCGAGTTCAGTCACTGTCTGGACTAGCTGCCGGCTGCTCTGATCGATAGTTTTTCGTGGCTTTTGTGATCACCACCAGGCGAATGCCGGAGCAGTTCCCTAACAAACGGGCCACGGACCGCTCGCAATCTTTCCTTCCTCTTCCTTCTACCGTCACCCCTTACACACACATTCACGTGCACTAGAGGACCCCACTTGTCCGGACCGGGGCGTCCCTCCGCTGTTGGGAGATACCTCGTCGGAGGAAACTCCGCCAAGCAACGTGTGGGCCTGCGCTGGATCTCGCCATCCAGCTGGAGAATATCACCGCTACATCCTGCGATAAAACACAGTACACACTACATATACGGAACTAATGACCTTAGTAGTTGATGCCCGGAAACACTAACCAGTCAACGTCCTGAGAGTGCGACGCGACGGGTGGACAGCGTGTGCATTCTACTGCTTCAGTGCGACTCAACTAGGACACGTGCCTACCTTCCATTTATTTCAGTCTTTCCCATTGCAGGTGGCGAGAAGAAAATGGCAAATGGATCGGAGGATTTGCTGAAAGGATCTGGATTTTACATCAGGAGGATGATTTTGTTTTTTATGAAGTGTATGAAAAATCCAGCCAGGGTGAAGGGAGGAAAAACGATAAAATTATAAATTATTTAAAGAAGTCATCTGATACAGAGTCAACAAATGCACTTTTGACGAGATACTTTCGTCTGAATGATATAAATTTGGAGAAATCTTACGACGAATGGAGTTCCAGAGACAAACATTTCAAAGATGTCTGTAGCAACTTTCGTGGCATTCGAATATTGGATCAGGATCCAGTGGAAAATGTATTTTCTTTTATTTGCTCTTCTAACAACAATATAAGTAGGTGTGTACCCCATCACGATTTACTTTTCGCGAAGGAAACAGTTTTGGCAATTTTCTCTACATTTTCATTTCAGAATTTCATCTATGGTGCAGAAAATGTGTTCTTTATTTGGTGAAGAAATCAGTGTAAACGGAAAGAAATACTATGACTTTCCAAGTGTGTCATCGTTAGCTGATCCTGTTGTTGAGAAACAACTTCGATCGGCAGGGTTTGGTTATCGTGCTCAATATGTGCATCAGTCCGCTGTTAAACTCACCGAACTTGGTGGCGAAAAATGGTTAGAGAACTTAAAGAGCCTCTCCTATGACGATGCTAGGCAACAGTTGATGCTTCTTCCAGGGGTAGGAGCAAAGGTAAAACTCATTCTCTTAAGTGATTTATGTGATGAAGTACTGTCATAAATAAAATGAAAAACTTTGACGATTTCACCCGAATAAAATATACAGCATATTCAGGTAGGTGCAAGCAGTTGTTAACAATTTTCTGTGAATGTAATTTAGCCCCTACATTGCCTGGAGCTGATAAAAACCGAAGCACCGTTCGCTACAAAAATGCCAAGGACGTTTAGAACCAATAGCATTTTTATCTGCGCTTTTTATTTATATTGTGCCGCAAGAACGACTTAACAATACTTTATGTAGGTGTTCATTATATCAGCATTTATTTCAATGTTTAACTTGATAAGTATATTAAATACAAGTGGTACAAACTTTCAATTACATTTTTCTCAAAGCTGCCTTTTTGCCGATATGCCCTTTGTCCTGAGAGCGCCTCAATTGTTGCAGGTGGCCGATTGTGTGTGCCTGATGTCGTTAGGGTTCTTAGGAGCAGTTCCCGTGGATACCCATATATTTCAAGTAGCTGCTCAGTGGTACTTACCCTCTCTCCGAAATTCTAAAACAGTAACTCCACGTATTCACAAAGAAGTCGGAGACTTCTTTCGCCAATTGTATGGTCCATATGCTGGTTGGGCCCATACGGTAATTTCACTTTTTAATTTAAGAATAATTATTTTTGTTTTAATGTTTATTTACATTAAATTGCAACATATTTTATTACAGATTCTATTCTGCTCTAGCCTAAAAACGTTTGCTGCACCAACAAAACGAAAGTCCATTGAAGAAAGCAAGAAAAAACAAACAAAAAAGAAAATTATGTAATTTCTTTCTCCCAAACCATATATTCACCAATACTGTTCAAGAAGAAATCAAATTGTACTTATTTTTATTTTGGATATTTTAATCATGTTTCTGTGATTTTATTGTGAATGAATTAAAACTGAAATGATATAGGCCACTTGGGCCCAGGGGAAGTGAAATTGTGCGAATGTGTAGTAATTTGAACTAAGCAAATGCATGATCTTGTATAATACATACTAAGAGCTCTTCTGAATATAAATTTACCTACAATTTACATTCACACTATGTGTACATAATATACGAAAATATCTTAGAGTAGCGTATCCGACATCTAAAACTGAACCCAAGGGTACGGTGCCTCGATGCAACAATGCCACATCGCCTAAAATCATACCTATTCTTACATTGTCAAGCCACAATGGACATTTCTGTCCATATTCGAAAACGAAATCCAGATTCACGTACATATTTTAGTCATATTACAGAAGTATCTTAATTACTCTTCACTTTCTACCTATTTGTAATAAATTTTCCCCTTATATTTATTGGAAATGTATATCTCAACTCCATACTGTAAATAGGCTATGTGAACATATAATTCCTCAGTATCAAACCACTAATTTTGATGTGTACTATTTTTAAAAATTTTTCAAGAACATTAACAAAATTTAACTTGATGCTTAAGTCTTCCGTATGCTTATTGTATGAGAAGTCTCGATTTCATATTCAAGATGATAAAATAGAATGACGAAAGACAAATACTTGAAACAATGGCTGAAGAATACTAAAGACTGGTGAAATACGAAGACGCGAGACGGGCGACGAATTTCGGAGACGAGAGGGATGAATTGGAAGACTAAATGTTGGTAGTGGGAATGTGCCTTTCCTGAGTCAGATCCGGTTATAAGTCGTCACACATCCGGTAATAAGTTATATATCCGATGTAATAGCGACGGGTGCAGGAGCGAGCTAAAGTAAGTCATGAGTGAGGGTGACTTAAGCGTGCGATAAGACGTCATATTTGGTGTGAAGTCGGAACAGGAATAAGTTAGTGTGGGACAATGAGCTCTGACCCCTAGCTGGGGTGCTGGGAGTGTGCGATAAGAAGACTCATTCTGGAGGTCATAAAACGTCTCCCATTCCGGGCCCCTATCGGTTTGACGACAGGGCTGAAAACTCGGACAATTGTTTTGGACAATGGAGTGGCGTTGACATGGAAAAAAAGAGTGCAAGAAGGGACTGGCGCCTTGCTCCGTCACGCCTGCGGGTGTTGTAGATGTCATTGAGAACTGAAGCTTTCAATGAGAGGACATGCTACCAAAAATTTCAAAGAGGTAAAAAGTCCCAACTTTTCGTGGAGACGAATCTCGTAATCGTGTTGAATTACGTTCAAGCAGTCGTAGTTGCATTCTGCCGAGGTTTATATGTGAAAATTCCAGACATAACCGCTCCCGTTTTGCATCACTTCGGGAATGTTACAGCAAAGAGACGTTGGTGTTGCAACCTTGATGAGCAGCCTCACGAAAACGATCCGGAAGTGGTCGTGATCTATTATATGAATTCAATTTGAAAAGTAAAGCCCCTTACAAACATGTCGGAATATTGAAATTAAATTTTGTCTTCCCACGTGACGCGAGGAGCTGGATGGTCCAAAAGAAATTCCTAATCTTTCGCAATCCCTTCAATGTACTGTAACAATTAGAAGCAATATTGCGATCGCGATGGGAGCGTGCTTCGTCAAAATCACATACATCTTGAAGACTGAAAAGGAATCGTGAATTTGGTACGCTGGAAGGTAGGATTCGCTTAGCATTGATTCACACGAGATGGGAGCTTTAAGAGCTTCAAAATCCACTTACACATGCATCGGGCATTCGACGTCTACTGCCGCGCGTAGTTTCTGACGTGAATGTATTGTTCTAGTCTAGACATCGTTATCAAACGTGTGGGTGATACGAAAAACAATCAGCGCATGAGCCTAGTTCTTTTAATGGTGTTTTCGAATTACATTTAAACACCAGTTGTAAGAGAAAATCTTACGACCGGTAATAGTGTACAATTTCTCGAAAATATGCAGTTTTCGCGTAATTTTGTGTGGAATGTAGGCAATTTTTAACCTTTTTCTCAAAAATATTTTTTTTTTACATTTTATCCTTGCGCTATTAAAGGACGATAAATATGTGATAGTAAGTTGGTGCTAGTATCACTTCCGGCAAACGTTTGGAAAATTGCAAAAATTTAACGTTATATAATTAATTAAAAATTTGAAGGTAGATTTTTGCCATTAGGAAAATCTACTTTAAAAATCAGCTCTTTGAAAAATTGTACATTTTTTTAAAAATACAACATGTTTTCGTGTAATTTGGCTTAATATTTGGGCAATTTATAAACAAAATCGAAACCTGCCCCAATTTTTTCCACGTATAGAACAAGGAACGCTTACAAGAATGGCGCAAGTCTCATTTTCAGTGAACTCTGTAATTAATAGAGAAATCCGTATTAAAGGCATTCTTTAAACTCGTATGCTATGCCTCAGAACTGTCATTTAACTAAACAGTGTATATCTGTAACTGTTTCATGTCTTATCATGTTACAGTTCTAAATCAGTGTGAGCGTAGCGTACATATGATATACTTAGTCACGAAAAACTTTATTACGGGCATCGCTCGTACTATGCACTGTAATTATCAATGTGCCTCTGCAGTCCTTAGAACATTTACGTCGTAGCCCTCAGTCGTTCAGAGACGCGCCACGATGTCGCCCACGTGCGTGGACGCAAAGGCGACGCTCCTTGCTACGTGACCCCCCTCCCCCGCATGTCGGCAAGAGACAGTGCAACGTCCAACTAAACGTATGCATCGTATCTTCAACACTGTTTTCTATTTCATATGTGCCCCTGGGTTCAATGAATTGAGCTATAAATTCCCTTTGGCGACGACAAATTCATTATCAATCATCATGAGATGATTTGCATTTGTGAAAACACCTACGGTGTTCCCACAAACTATTTAAATAATATCGCTATAGGTCAGTTAATTAATTCACAGTGTAGTAATTATTCAATCCAATTATGTGTTTCTTAATTCATGTGGTTCCTTCTGAATTGCCCTAAATGACGCAACTTCTCTAGTGTACTGTCCTCGTATTTCCGAAATCTACCTTCCCTCCCAAACATACTGGTCCTTCGAAAAGCTATTGGTTATCTGGCAATTAAAGTGGTAGATCTGGCAATTATTATAGGATATCCCCCTTCAACACTCCACTGCTCGCTCCTCCGTTATCTCAAGTAGCTTCTGACGAGACACGGATACTTCAAGGCCTATAGTTTCAAACTAGATGGCACTCCGTACTGCTCTGTAAGCGAAACTACTGTCGAGGACGCCGAACACGTGTTTTTTCAGGGCCCCTATTTTGAACCTTAACGACGAGTCACCGTTTTGGATTCTCGGGTTACGCCAGAAGACACCACAAAACCTAGTTGCAAATATGCTCGTTTCTGTAAGCAGTTGGAAGGAGGTAATTTTGCACAAGTATTGCTGGATCTGAGACGCCTGCAGAAAGAAAGGAGGGAGGTATCATGATCCACTTGACTAACATCAGGATGTATTAAATACGTCCGCGATGTAATGTCCATAGGCGGCTCCGCGGAGAGGATGGAGTCCAGCTTTAGTGAGTAAAAATCTCACCCTCTGTGTAGTATGGCACTACCCAGTGTTTTTGGATGATAACTTAAATAATATTTTTTTCTCTTCTTTCATACTCATTAGAAAAGAAGGCAATGATAGCAACAGGAAATAATATTTAATGTAATATTAGGTCTATCTTTTTGCATAAAACGACCAATGATAAACAATTCTGAATAGGGTTTACACTATTTCCATTTGCACTCGCGAATACCTTAGTGTACTCTATACCATCTGGTCCTGTACGAGCAACGGGGACTGAATGACCGTTTAATTTCTATAACGTGCTACGAATCCACTTTCCACGTGTAGTTAACATTTTTGTGTAAAATAAACAATATGAAAAAATATGTGGGGAAGTTGAAATGCCAACTTCACGCACAACATGGCTGTAAGGCGGGTAGTATTAGACAGGCAAGAAAGCACAGGGCGAGGACGGAGGCAAGGAGCAGGATGGTTTTAAGCAGGCCATTCTAGGGAGAGGATACACTACAGAAATACATTCCTTTCCCCGTGTGATTAGTAGATAAAGTAAATAAATATCCATACACGTAAATGGATTCAGCTTTAAATTTTCCATACGATGTAATCATACAGTTTACCACTGTACTACCTCTGAAAATCAACATCTCGGGAAATACGGAAACATACAAGAATTCTATATTAATTTTAACAAGTGATTTTTTTTACAACTGTAAGGCTAATTATAATTGTGATGTTCCATGGTGCTCAGTCCTGGACTCATTTACATCGTATCTGCAGCTGATTGATAAATTCAATTCTTTAATTATGTCTGCTGATGACACCTAGCTCTAATTTACCTTCTATCAAAATTGGTTCAATTCACTAATGAATTGCTCCAAAAATATTTAGATCCCGCGAGCTGGCCTGCTGCGTTTTTGTTTTTTACTCTTCGTTGGCAATCCTTAACACAAAAATTATACACATTATTTTCACATTCACTAATTTGAACTGGTGATGTGGCATTCCCCATTATTCTTATCATTGTCAAATGGAAAATATTCGTATCAATGTATTTGCACAGATAAAATGCGAGAAAAGTACATTTAAAATCGACTCTTTAATAAATCTTTACATGCATAATTGTTATTAGCGTTTTTTTTTTACAGCCTTGGCCGTTTTTCGCATCCCAATTTCCATCTCTCTTTATCCCATAGATCTATTTCTCTTTTTTCCAGGGCTTCAGTTATTGCCATCTTCCATGTTCTTCCCCTGTATCTTCTGCGATTTGGTATCCACTCCCAAACTTTTTGTGGAAGTCTATCCGATTTCAACCTTCTCATGTGTCTGTACCATTTAGTTGTTTCATTTCAATTGTTTTGTTCAAGGTTGTTTGTACTCTCATTTTATTTCTTATTTTATCTAACAGAGAAAGTTTACATCATCTTCGCCAGAACATCATTTCTGTTGATTGAAGTTTGTCTTTCAAATTTTTTGTTAGTGTTCAGACTTGTGGCTCATAGAGTGTGGTACTCTCTATGAAGGAGCTACATATGCGTTTCTTTGCCTTCATTGAAATAATTGAGTTCCATAGCACGGGATTCAACTGTCTTGTGGCTATTTTTATTCTTTCATATCCTGTTCGTCTCTACCTTCTGCTGTAAGTGTGACTCCCAAATACTTATATTGTGTATTACTTTTAATTATTCCTACACTAGTCTCTAAATCATGGGGCATACCTCCCACCACCATATATTCAGTTTTTTGTACATTTATTTCCATTCCTCATTTTCCACACTCTTCTACTAATTTTCTGTATATATAAGTTACATAATCTTCATCTTCAGCCATTATCACCTGGTCATCTGCAAATAGACTAAACAATGTTTCATCTCCTATATTCACACCCATGCTTCTGCACTTTCTTTTCCATTCTTTTAGAGCTTTATCAATGTATATCTTAAACAGGGTTGGAGATATACAGTAGCCTTGCCATAATCCTTTATTTACTGGGAAGTTGTCTGATAAGACATTTTCCCACTTTTACTATCTGTATTAAGTTGTTTGACTAAATTTATGTATGTTGTTGATATTCCTTTTTCTTCCATTGTTCCCCATACTTCTTTTACTGGCACATTATCATAAGCCTTTTTGAGATCAATGAAAATTATGTGAAGCGCTCTTCCTCACTCAATTGTTTTTTCCATCAGTTGTTTGAGGCAGAAAATATTGTCAATACAGGATCTTCCTGGTCACTTTTCTCTTCTGAGTGTGATGTTTGCATTTCAATTCTACTCTTAAGAACATGTCCTTACAGTCTAACTAAATATGAAGTCACACTTATCCCTCTACAATTATATATTTTTTACAACCTTTTTTGTCAATTGAATTTATATAGACTAATTTCCATATTTCAGGTATTTTACCTGCTTTTAAAATGCCATTGAATATTTCAGTAATTAATTCCAAACCTACAATAGGATAATGTTTAACCAGCTCTATGAATATACCTCCAGGTCATTACTTTAACTCTTCAAAAGTCACATCTGGTGTGATCGAATCTACATGCAGTGGTTCATAATTTATTCCCTGAAATTTAGTTCTGTCAAAAGATTTTCATAGTATTTCTGCCATTTTTCAATACCAGTTGGGTCTACTAAATGCCATTCTTGGGTTGTATTCAATTTCATGGAATGTAACATTTTCCATACCTCTCCGGATTTGTTGTTACCAATGCACTTGTCTAATCTGTAATATTTTTGTTCCCAGAATACATTTTTTGCCTTCTACATTTCTTTCTTGACCAAATATTTCATCCTGTTATTTTCACTTCTGTCTTCTAAATCCTTTGAGGACAGCCATCTCAAATATAACTTTTTCTGTTCTTCAACCAGGTTCTTTATATCTTCTGTCCAGCACAAGTCTTTTTGTTTATATTAACATTTTCCCTTCTCTCCCAAAGATTCTTTAGTGGCTTCATGAGTGCATTTTTGGTATTTTCTTCAGTATTTCCTATTGGGATGTACTTTAATTTTTCTGCAATGTGCAATTTGTACCAAAATGCAATGGAATCATCTTGAAGGCTTTCAATATTTATCTCAGACACATCTAACTCCCTATTTTTCCACATTTCGTATTTGGTTTTGTGTTTCCGTAACTTTTGAAGTACGGTTTATACATAAGGTACGCTTTTCCTTTTAGTAAGTAGTGATCTAATCCACAGGAAGCACCTCTTTGAATCTGAACATCGCTCCACTTTATTATGACTGTTGTTTAGTAATTTTGTAGTCAGTTATTGATTTCAGTTTTCTAGTGGGCTGAGTCCATGTGAATTTATGAATTTTTTAATGTGGAAAATGGCCATTCAATATTTTCAGGTCATACAGTTCACATATCTCTCTATAAGTCTTTCTCCGTTGTCATTTAATACATTTTCACCATATCGCCCCACAACATTATGCGCCATTCGTTTTCCAACTCTTCCATTAAAATAACTTAGAAGCACCACTTCTTTGCGAGTTCCAATAGAATCCAGCAACATAGTCAGTTTCTCTAAAAACATACCTTTTTCTGCAACATTGCATTGTCTGTTGAACCATAAATTCCTATAATAAAAACATTGCGTCCGCTTAGTACAAGATCGAGACATGCTCATCAATTGCTTCACAGCTATGAATATTTTTCTCCAATCTTTTACGTACAGCTATGGACACTCCTGCTCTTGCACGCTTTTATTTTCCCACTCCACTAAAAAGTGAACATAATTTCCTTTCCTTTCATTTCCCTTCTTTTTTGTTTCACTCAACATTATTATATCCATGTTAAACTCCTCTATTGCATTAAAAACTTCATTTACTTTAGTGCTTAAACATTGAACATTCCAGCATCCAAAATTCAGACCATTTTCCTTGCCTTTGTCGATGTCGTGAGTTAATCCGAGGCTCATTTCCATGGAGAGTTTGAGTGGCTTTTTTATTTTCCGAGTATGGGGGTGCTGGTCCCATGACTCTACCCCCTTCCGGGAGGACTGGGTAATTTTCTTTTAGTGTTTTCTTCCCTTAGATTGAGTGCCTTCCAGGACTCCGGAGTTCAATCTATCCCTATTTGAAGCACTTCTGCTTCTGAACAGGAAAAAGGGAATGGTAAGGATACACCTAAGGTTAGAAAATGGAAGCCTCCAAGCTACTCAATCCACCCTTTGGCTCCTGGGATTCAGGAAAGGATTTTAGGCATGAAGGATATTTTACAGTTCTTATCAATTCTTAATTTAGGAGTGGATAGTTGTCAAGAATAGATTTGTCTCATGGAGCAACTCTTTTAAACACTTCACAAACTTCTGGTCACATGGTTGCTTTATTACTTTTTACATTATGTTGCCTAAAATCTTACTTTGGCAGATATAAAACTAAAACCTGAAGCCTATTTTTAAATATTGTGTAATTACCCATATCACAAAGATCTTCAAACAGTGAAGTACTTATTAATTTATTTTTATTGAAATATGTTTATCTGAACATTTAATTCTACCATACACTAAGTTTGTTTGCTAATTCAGTTTTTGCGAATGGGCGGTCTTGTATAGAAATATTCATTAAACGTGAACATTGAGCGGCGGCGATGGTGTAACGGTTAGCGTACTGGACTGTTGTACCCAAGTTGGCGGGTTCAAACCCGATCGAAGCAGTGGATTTTTAAGGGCGAAAAAATCCTTCGTACGCCTTCCTTCGGAGGGGAAGTAAAGCCAGCTGTCCCACGTTCGTAGATTTACTTGCATGTAAAAGATCCTCAAGCCTAAATGACGCCTCTGAGGTAAATTCAAATCGCCTGTTGCTCGCCCAAGAAATACCTCCTTTCTTTCCTAGTTGGTGAAAGGAGCGTAGCGAAATTTGCGTGGTCAGACGGAAGAGCGGGCCTGATGGCCCGAGTCTCACCACGTAAAATAAGACCAATTCAAATTCAAATTCATTTTCTGAATTTTGAAAATATTTTGATTTGAAAAATGTGCCTCACTGGAACTTAGCACTTATGCAAATCAATGCCAACAACTGAAACACAAACAAACATGTTTCTTTAGTTGTTTTGAGAGTTTATTTTACATTGTTGATATATAAAATTACATTAATGAACAAAAAATTCACTTGAAAATAAAAATGGCAGTACAATATTTTAATTTATTTAGTAAACATATCAACTATGCATTTCTATTTCAGAAATGTTCATTTGAAGCTCTTGCTTTTTCACCAAAAAAAAAAAAAAAAAAAATTCTGACAACCAAATAAAATTTTGTAGAAGGTAATTTACGCAATTTTATTTAACCACAATTTCAAAGCATCCAAGTCAGCAGCATTATCTTTATCCTTGGTCAGTGCAGCACTTTCAGCAAATTCCACTTTCAAAGGATGCAAATGTGAGAATTCAAAATCTTTATCTTTCTTCCCAAGAATATTATTGGTGGTTCCAGAATCATTAGTACTTTCCAACTGATTTGACTTCGTCACACGTAGCACATTCCTGTAAATTGAAGGTTATTACCATTAGCAATCAGTAATAGCCATTTTCAAATATGAATCAAGAAATATTCTTAGAAATACATTAATACATCAACTCTTTACTATCCTCACTACAATATTTTACACTAGTAAGCACAAAATATTTTAAAACAATAAATTATACCAAATATATACTTACATTTCTTTCTCCAGGTAGGACTGAATAACCTTGCAGCCTTTGGCAAGAGGTTGGTCTTGTTTATTGCAAAGAATCAAAACTGGTGGGGAATTAGATGCAACAACAGTATCTGATAAAATATTGTACAAAAATCTGAAAGGAAAGTCAAAACTAAAAATATTAACCAAAAAAGCACACTTACATAAAAGCAAATAAAAAAAATTAGAAAATGAAAAAACACTAACTCAGCCACATCGTGAATCTCCTTGTGATAAGTCACAGAGTCAATGACATACACTATTCCTCTTGCAACCACTTTAAATTGGTCAAAAAACTTTGATCTTACTCTCTCATGACCTGGAATATCTATAACACGCAAAAAACCCTGAAAATGAAAATAAAGAAAATATAAGTTTTTTTTCTTCTTTGCATAATTTTCGCTCAATGATTAACACATTATGTAATCTAGTGTAAAGGAAAGGATCTAGTATGTCCATATATATTCATGAAATTCTCGGATGTTTTAAGGAGAATTTCGTTTGGCTTGAAGACATTGACAATAATAACTTTCATTTTCTTGTTTTCTACCCCCCCCCCCCTTCTAGCAATAACCTTATCCATGTACAGTAAAATGTTCTCAATGTGGAATGTGCAAAATGTAGAAATCCGTTCAATGTGAACATTAACCATGGTTTGGGAAAAAGTTCTACAGCACTGCATTAGATAATGCGGTATGAAAAAAAAAAAAGGGAAAATAAATTACTGGTCATTTGTGATCCCGCATTGATCAAGTTTTACTGTAATAAGTACAATTATTAATAATAATTTTAGAAGTCTAAATATTGTAACAGAAGAAACTAGAATACAGACTTTATTCATTATGCAAAATATATGTGTTGCTTCCTCACAAATCAAGCTTACTTTTTCAGAAAGTACACCAGATACTTAAGCAAGCTATTTTTATTACGACACCTCTTTCCATACAATATTCAAACCATTTACTTCACAAAAATTAACCATTACAAATTTTTGTTTTCAATGGATACATAGATTTATTGATCTGCAAAGCAAGGGTGGTCAATTTGTGGTGCACAAATGAAATGCAATACATTGCTTAATGACAACAGATGACTTCATGTTCCCACCTGGCCTTGCTCTTGACGATCCTCCTAGTATTGTCTCTCTCACAGCTAACAAGTGTTATCTTCAATTAGATTTATTTCATGATTTAGTTATTCTTTTTCCTCGCCTAAATGAAATAGATCTTAATGCGATCCAACATAAACCATGAATTTAAGACGGTAGAAAGGATGCTTGCTGTAAAGCACATCAGAACTTGGTACGTGAATATATTTGGCACATGGTATGTCACAGGTTGGCCATCACTTTTCGAAGGTAAATGCCCTTTGTTCTTGCATTTGACTTGCTTGAAGCAAGGAAATTGTCCAAATGCTTAACTGTAATGAAGTCAAGACTCTCAACTTCCATACAATACTTTCCTCAATCCCAATAAAAGTAATTTGAATCTAACATATTAACTTGGGCAAATTCATAACAATTTTTCTAACATTGTAAAAATAAATCTTAAAAGCTCATTTTACAGGAACAGAAAAACATTGTGCTAGTCTGCTCTTTTCAGAAAAATCATCTTCCATAAACAAGAATTTAAAATAGAAATAAAGAAGCATGGATTAATAGGAATATGATTCATTCCTGTCACTTCTTCATTAACATTTTCTATAGGCACAAACCACATAACATGATTGATACTGAGAAAGACTGAACAGCTTTCATACCTTTTCAGTATGGAGGCAGAGAATAGTCATGATAAGCAAATGACTCTCTCTTCACTACCTAAAAATATGATTTTGAATGGATTCTTTTCTTTCCTTCACTTCGGCATTAGTATTTTACCTCTAGTGTACCATATGTTAATTAAACTTGTAAATATATACCAACTTACACTTTTCACTATATAGTCGCCTGCATTTTCTTTAACAGATGTTTGTGTTTGCACGAATTTATTATGAATTAGTCTGGAAAATATTAACGTTTTTCCAGAATCGCACATCCCCAGCAACAGGATACCTCGTCGTGCGTTTCGTCTGTATCTCCATATTGCTAATAAGACTGGAACATTCAGACGAGACAAATTTATACACAGCTAATGTTGGGGGTCATTCATTAATTGAGAAGGTGCGCATAAAACCAAGTATAAAACTTGCTTATTTTCAAAGGGGTAGTCCACTAAGGTTAAGTACCACGAGTGCTTATTGAATGTATATATAATTTTTAAGCAATGTTTTCACCTAAAGTTAAAACGATAACAATAACTGCTGTAATAATCCCAATAAACTGGGAGTTATCAACATGTTTCAAGGTTGCTGGTTGCTCATTCTTCGCACTCTTCATATCGGACTCCATGACAACAGCTGTCTTTCAAACACAAACGCAAAATCACAAGCGAAGCGAGAACTAATTTCTCGTTCAGGACTTGATTCACTTCCGCGAGAACATTGCGAACGATAATACGAATCCACGAGCGGAATGGCCTCCAGAGAGTATATAATGGCTTTTCGAAATACCAGCGTGATACCAACAAGATACTAGCGTGTGCCCGCGTGTGCCGAATCGGGATATGGATGGGTATGGGGTAGGCAGCACGTGGGTAACGCGTTTAGCACGTTTGTTGCAAGTGTGTGAGTGACCAATGTTTCCGGCAGGTTCACCCAGAGCTTTGGCTGAACATGAAAGTTGTTTTATGTTCATTAATAGTATTTGTCAGTCAGCAGCCTCGCTGTCCACGTCAGTGAGATCTGAGCTGGTGTAAGTGTTCTGTGTACATTGGTGTTATAGAGACCTGGCCGGAGGTATGCGGATGCGTGCTCATCGGTGCCTTTGCACTTTGATAATTACTGGTTGAATGTCAATTTGTTGAAAGTATATAGACATGATGGCAAGTGTTGAAAATGTGTATACTTCGTGTTCATGTAACAGAACACCGCATTCTGTGGATTGGGGAGTAAATGATTTAGTGTGTTTCGGAACATCCCATGCAGTAGCAATTTATTCCCCTAAGGTACGAATTATTTTTTAAAAATTATTCTACTATTATTGATATTTAAATAGGTCATCTGATGTGTGTTGTGATTTCAGAGTCGAGTTGCTGTCACGCGGACTCTATACTCTCATAAATCGCGGGTGAACTCTGTCAGGTGGATTAGAAAATATGACGGTTCTGCTGAAACAGAATTCATATCTTGTTCGTGTGATAGAACTGCAGTTATATGGACACAGAATGCAAATTGTGATTTTATTCCCACTGCTGTGCTTGAAGGACATGAAGATTCCATTACTGTTGTTGATGGAATATATATGTCAAGTTGTGTTGATGATCGAATGACAACCCCAAGCCAGTTACTAGCTGTGACAGGATCTATTGATTCAAATATTAAAGTATGGATGAGAGAGAAAGGAGAGAGTAAGTGCACTAATTCTCTTTGGTGAAAAACATTATTCAGTATCATATTCATGTGCCTTTAAATTCTAATTAGGATTAAATGAAACGTTATTAGATACATCTAGTGACATTTTAACTATCAAGGAGTCAGTGGGTTGTAAAAATTCTAATAAAGCAATTAGATCAAAGGAACCTAATAAAAAGGAAACAAAGCTATTTCCCAGAATACCTCCTGCATACAATATCACAACAATTAGAAGAGTTGGATTGTTATGACAGTCATATTTGTTGGGGATGTAAATAAGTCGCCATGATTAGTAGTGTGAATGGTTTCATTTCCAAGCTTATCAACTAGAAAATGTTTACTTGACATGGTATATATTTTTGTATCAAAGGAAAATTGTAAAGGAATTCCAAATTTTGTTATTTTAAAAGGAAGATTCTCGGATATGGACTATGTAAATTTAACAACTGGCTGAAATCTTCTCAGAAAAAGGAGTATTTTCCTGCCCTCTGGAACAGTACATAACATATGACCTTCAACCTGTAGCAATGGCTTATTAGCGATAGTGTCACCTTTGCAACGTTGTTGTCCGGGAGGTCTTTGAGTTCAAGTTTCAACAGTGGTAGATTTTCTGGACATGCTACATATCCAGATCAAATTCAGCTACTGTCTGGAGGAGAATTCTATCTGCTAGGTGGTATGATTGATGGTTTTGTGGGGGATCTAGTAACAATACCTGGCGAATGCCCAAGTACCCTATCAAATGGGCCTCATAGTCTCTCCTTCATCCTTGACACCGTCTCTCTCCATATCCCCCCTCTCCCACCCCCCCCCACACGAACACACTTATGATTAGATGCTCTACATGACCTCATGTTGGGAGACTAATTGAGAGCTTAGAGCTTGTCCCAGCTGAGTGGAGCCACCCTGGGGGACATACCTGGAGTAACAGAAAACCTGCTAGCCAATATGTAGTTGTGCCAGATCACCCATTCCAGCAAGAAAACCATCACCTTCCATGAAATGGATTAATAATCCACTTACAGGATTAATGATCGAAGCATTTGAAATGTCTGGGAACAATAAATATTTACTTATCCACATGAGATATTTCTTTCATACTGTTTCCCAGTAAATAGTGTTTGGTCAACTTCTGCATCTGTGATAATTGATTTTTTGAGGACAATGTATTCTTCATGTAATTAAGTGCTTGCAAAGTTAGAGATCAAAGAATTTTCTTCTTAAACCATTCATTTATGTGAAAACACAATGTAATCATGTCGAGACAATATTTTAATTACTGTGAAAGCATAACAGAATATCTATATTATGACCATTTTCCCAAAGAACCTATTGTTTTCCTGCAAGATGTGTTAATAACAAAACTAATGCAAAAATAAATAATTTTGGTAAAAATTGTTAATTGTGCACATGCAAAAAACTTCATATTGTATAGTTAGAGTGCAAGTATAAATATGCCCTTGACTGGGTCTGGTGGGATTCGTGTGGCCCCAGGCAATTATTTAATTAAAAACCAAACATACCGATATATTGCACTGTGGTTCCTTGTGTATTCCGCATTCATGGTCCTCAGCAGGTGATGGTGTGATTTTTGACTAAAATAACACCGTAATCATACTTTATTGTTCATTATATCTACAAGGTCCCCACCAGACAAGGAGTGTCAATAAATTTCTGTATTACATTTAAGTTTTTTCACTTCTGAATCTTATTTATGCATTTTCTGTAGATTTGTTTTTCTGTGAATCAGTCTGTTTTCTCTTATCAACAATGCAACATGACAAAAAGGTTGTTCCACAAAATAAAAGGCTCAATGTGATTGATTTCAACACCAAAGCGGGCTTACATGCACTTTACCAACTTTGTGCCAACTACTCTGTGGCTCGGTGGTGGTGGCAATGGCTGTTGGTGGCTAATGGTGATTTTTTCATGCAATTCTTAACATAGCACGTGTAAACTCTAGCATTCTTAAGTACTGCAATAAAGATTCTGAAAATGAATCAAGTAGAAAGCCATTGATGGAATTTGGGCATTCACATGTACAGCCACACATTTCACATCGTGATGTCTATCCTTTGGCACTTGAAATGCAAGAAATTATACTGAAATTAAGAGTCAAATCATTATGTCAATGTTCAAATCAATAATGTCACTATTTTAAATTTATTTGAAAATAAACCTTTCGTAAAAATGTGTGCTGATTGATTGTTTGTCGAAGTATATTTGTCTTCTTTTCCTTTGCCAATTGACAAACATTATGATGTTATGTGGTTAGACGTTCGAGAAAACTTGGCTTCTTCAAAAACTTGATTGTGCTTTGATTATCTATTTATCATTTTGGAATGAATTCTTCTGTAATTGCTCCAATTTCTTTCAAAAGACAGTTTAACCAAATTAATTATTAAAGCAATAAAGCTGCTTCACTTGCTGCCACATCTGCTTCCATGGATGATAAAACCAACCAATGTTGAAGCTTACTTTTCCACATTACAGGCCCCTTTCAATATTTCATTAAATAACCACTGGTTGAAAGTCTTGCGAATTTGTCTCCAGCAGTCTCCCACTATTGAACATCTTATTGTAATGCTTCAATATAATTCTTCTGAGCTTCTTTTAACAACATCACTCTTGGTTCCTTCTCATAAACTTAATTACGCATCAATGGCATGGTTTAGAAACCAATCGTCTATCTCTCAAAATACGAGTGTTATTTATACCATTGTTTTCAACTTCATTATTATTGTTATTATCATTTTTATATTCCTTTTTCCTCCTAATTTTTTCCTCTTCTTTACTACTGTTATGATTTCTTTCCTCTTTACTATTATTACTATTCTTTGCTATTATTACTTCTTTCCTCTTCCTTATTATTATTCACACCTTCATAATAACAAAATCTTCATCATCTTCGATGATTTCATCGGTTTTGTTGATTTTCATTTTATCAGCATGATTAACAAAATTCAAAATTTTGTTATCTTCACTTTCTTCTTCATATAATATCTACAAACTTTGATATATCGATCTTAATTAGTTTTTCATTCTTAAATTTAACATCTTTGCAAATATAAACATTCATCTTTTCTGAAAAACTAATCTAATAACTGCAATCTACATTCCCAACAATGTATCCATTACAACATTTGGAATCAAACTTATTACATTTCTGATGAGAAATCCACGCAAAACATTCTGTTCCAAATACCTGTGTATGATCCAAGTGAGTCCTTTTTTCAAAAAAAATTCCATTGGAGATTTATAACCAATTTTTGTTGGTCCACTTTGATTTAAAATTTACATTACAGTTAAAATAGCTTCTCCCCCAAAAAACTTTTTTGGGAGAAGATGTGGAAGGATGGAAGAAGTAGTTTGACAGATGTACAGATTGTCACCATAATATTGCTATTTCACAAAGAATCCTATTTTCTCTTTCTGCAATACCAATCTGTTGTAGTGTATAAGGAACTGTAATTCAATGTTTCAATTCTATCTTCTCTCCTTAATTCCGTATGTCTTGATTGTCAAATTCTTTACCTCCATCAGTTCATAATTCTTTAAATGTAACTTTAGCTTGGGTCTTTATGATCTCAATAAATGAAGGCAATTTTTCTTTAACTTCATCTTTTCTTTGGAGTAAATATGTCACCCTAAAACTTGTAAAATCGTCTGTAAAAACAAGATAATGTCGATACCTGTCATTTTATTCTATTGGTCAACAGATATGAGCAAAAATTAACTCTCCCTGTTTGGTAAACTTGTCTACTCTATTGCCAAAAGTCATTTGAAGATGTTTTTCCAAAACATAACCTTCACAAAGTTCACCATCTGTATCTATGCCGATTGCTTTATTTGCTAAAAATTTCTTCACAATGCATTTATTTTGATATCCCAATTTTTCATACCATTTTTTAATAATCTAATAATCATTATTAGAAATGATGATTTTTCTTGATTGACTTCCACTAACAATCTATAAAGATCATTCTGTCCGTCTGATAAAGCCATTGCAATATGAACTCCTTCTTTATAAAACATCTATGATTTTTTTCCTTCATTTTCAATCTCTTGATCAATTCCCTTTTGTCAAGTGTTTTTAACTGAAAATAAATTCCAGGATACATCAGGAGAATACCAAGATGTTTGGTATTCTCCTGATGTATCTTGCTGTTTATTTTCAGTTAAAAGTCTTAAAAATAAAGATCTTAACCATTTTTCTCCATCAAAAGTTTTTGCATCTATGTGACCAGAACCTAATGCGTCAATTTGCACACCTTGATGAGCACTGTCCATTTTTCTCAAATTTTGAAGTGTTTTATATGAAGAAAACCAAGCACGTCTATTTGTAATATGATGAGTAGCACCACTATCTATAAACTATTCATCACAATTTTAAATTATTGATATCAATTTTTTCAACAGATGACATCGCACATCCCATAGCTTTATTTCCAGTTTTGCATTCATTAGAATATATTTTTGCATTTAAAACACAAGCCAATTCTAGTCTTTCGGAAAATATCCGGCTGAAATGTACTACATGGTACAACCTAGGGAAGTCATTTAAGCAGGCACTTCACACCGTTCCGACATTAACTAGGCAGTTGGAATTCCGGGGGCTTTCTTGATAAGTGATGTCTTATAAAAGCGAATTGGTAATTATGCGTAGGATGCACTCCCGGATGTTTGTAGTGAATGCGAGGGCCGAAGGCCCAAGCCTCATCGGGACTTGGATCTGGGCGAGCGAAGTGAGAAAACTTGCCTTTGATAGTAAATTGGCATTACAATGCGGCGGGGACAAAGTATATGAAGAGCAAACCATGAAAATCGCGTATCTGTAAGTTTTATTCATTTCTATTAGAGCACGTACAGTAATTAGGGCTTAAGCCCAGCTGCCACGTTTCTCTAAGGGTGTACCGTATACTAAATATTAACCAAATATCCTAACTTACCACAAGAAAAGTATCTTCTCATCGTTTTTCCTGTTTTTATAAACTTCTGTAAGTTATTATTTTGATTATTCTTCTGATTTAATTGTTGATTCTAGATTTTTAATTTTGTTATCATTGCAGCATCACCAGAACTTTCAACTCTTCTTCTAATACAAATTTCATTATTCAAACATCTCTTCTCTAACTTCACCCAAGTCTTTTCCTCTTGTGATAGATCATGCCATATAATATAAATATTTTCAAATTCGGTAAAGTCTGTAAAAATTTTGCACATAAATCACCTTCGTTTATTTGCATTTCATCTAATGATGTTTTAGTTTGAATATCATCAAATTTAGCTGAATGTTCCTGTACTCCATTTGCCTAATCCCTTTCAATGATCCAGTTTCCTTTCCCCTTCAAATGAAATTTATGTCTCAACAAAGCAATATTCTCTTCAGATTGAGAATAAAAAATTTGATTAACTAATCCCATAAATTTTTGCTTTTTCACAACTAGCAATATGTAGCAAAGGTTTTGTATCAAGTGATAGAATAATACATTTTTAGCCTTATTATTTTCTTTATTCCGTTTAACCAATAACATTTTATTAATGGGCACATTCTAAAATTGTCCTCGCAATAATCTGCCATGTAGACCAATTTTCTTCTCCAGTCATTTTCTCAATTTGCATCTTTCCTTCTGTCATTATTATATTTTGTCTATTGATAATTATCTTTAATTAATATTCTTCTCATATTTTATATCTTTTATTGTTTTCTTCTAATAATTGCCAAAATTATATTCATTTAAAGATAATCACACTTAGCTTCTGTGTCAGAGTAGATCAAAATCTTCAAATTCAGTTATAACTTATTGCATTTGACATAAAAACTGAGTACATACTTACAGGGGGGAAAAAAACAGGTCGCTAATCAACAAAATAGTTAACTAGGGCAGAATTATTCATTTTCATTACTCTTATAACTTGTATTCTAATGAGAATTTAAATTAATATGATCATTGATTCTCAATAAAACAAAAGTGTGAAGCAACAAAATCTGCAGCCAAAATTGTGTCAAGTGCTCTTGTCAGCAAGGAAAGCATCAAAAGTGAAAAACTTAGCAGAAGGGAGAATAGATATACCCACATCATCACAATGAAGGATTTGGCATTCAGTGATCAAGGATGCAGAAACAGTCAAGAACCAGCTCAACGAACTATGAAACTCAGATTGTAGAGGAATTCTGCTTTAATTTGAATTGAGAACAGACAATATCAGGCAGTCTGTGTGCAATTATTTTGCAAGAACTCAGCACCTCAGAGTTTTGGCTCATGAAACAGGATCTGCAATTGACGTTTTTATTCAACTATAGGCCCTGTTAAATGAATACAGTATATGGAGAATAGTTAAAATGATTATTTATGACACCACAGGAGTCAGTATGGGGCCCAAAAATGGTGTACGTGCTGAACTTAGAGAGTTCAGACAAAAGGGTCAAGAAGAACTCCTTGAGGTGTCACCATCATTATCTCGACTGGATTCAATGACACTTGATGGATTTCTTATTCCTAACAAATCACGATCACCCAACACCAACTATCAATTCACTGATGATGTTTAGGCAGGATATGAGGTCTTACAAAGAAGCTATTGGGAGAGAAAGGTTACTGGCACCAGAAAATGGGTTGGGGGATGACTGGAAGCATCTTTTTGAATTCTATGAAAGATATAATTTCTACCAGGAAAAAAAAAAAAATGGAAAATGGGCTCTACTTGAGAGGCAGAAGTTACTTTCCCATCAAAATGTCTGGTGGAATAATCTTTGCAGTATTTGCTTGGCTTCCAAAATGGAGAGATCTATTGTGACTCAAAGCTAATTGTGACTTCATTGCAACTGCAGTGATGGACAAAAGCATTGTTTTCAATTAAGCACTATTTATAGGACAAATACAATTAACTGCATGTTGCTGTCTTCAAATTGAAGTGCTCTAAGGTTTTAAAATACTTCTCCACTTACTAGATAAATTATCAGCCCATGTTTGGCGTGCATTATTCAAATATAGTGTCTTGAGTGTGTTTTTAAAGCTGATGAGCTGCATGGCACTTGCAAAAATTACAAATATCTTAACAAGTTTATAATTAGTATCAAATTTAAAACTATTACATGCAATATTCATTAGCGAATGCATACATTTGCTTTTGATGTTTCAGTTTAATACAATGCTTTAGGTTCAGGAGTTTATTCAGAATTTAACAACTCTGCATTAACTTTTTGAGGTTTAGGCAAAAGTTTGTTTGGTACCACAGGCTTTTTAATTGGAACTAGTGGTGCTACAGAATGGCACAGACTTTCCAGTATTAGTTTCTATTTTCTTTGGTCTCGGCTTGTCACATACTCTTGCCAGCTGCCATCTATTACTGCCCAAAGTACTTTTTTTTTTGACAATTTATTAATTTTTCCATTTCCTTATTGTAGAGCGATAATATTATTTTAAGATTATTAAAGAACAGTAAAACCTCTTCCTAAATGACAATATTAGTTTGAAAAATTTGGAGCTAAAAGTGGCGTTTAAGTTTTATTGTAAATTGGAAATTTAAAGCTCTTTTTCACAGAAAATTCTGGACTTTTTGAAAAACTTAATTTGAAGTCATTTTAAGTACTTTAACTCAATACAATACTATACAATAGTGTTTACAAATTTCTGGAAATGTGCATATCAACAGTGTGAGAGATCTTTCAAAATATTTAGATTTGTGTAATTTTTGAAAAAACAACAACAACAAAATACACCAAAATGAAGATTATTATTAATATTATTATATAATAATATTATTATTAATAATTATATATTAATAATAATATATTAATAATAATATTAATAATATTATTATTAATATAAATATTAAAGAGTGAAATTAATACTATCTGCTTGAAATGTTCGAAATAAAAATTTGGACCCTATTTTGAGCAATTGTGTTTGAGCTAAAAATGCGGAATTTTGAGCTAGTTTTCACAAAAAACTGTAATTTAAAAAAACAACAAAAGAATAGAGCAATATGGCATTTAGGTCATCTTATAGAGTAGATTTAGCTCTATCCCTGTCAAAAGTTTGAAGAAAAAATTGGAGCCGTTTTTGAGAAAATCTAGTTTTTGTAATCTTTAAAAATTGCACATATTTCACACAATATTGTGCGAAGACTACTAAAATTTTCAAAGAAATGTACACGACTTTAGTGAAAGAACTTACTATGAAGAACAAATTTTACTTGAAGGAAAAATCGATCTTTAGTTTTGTAGTTGTAGGGAGACACCGAAAATAATTCATACTTTTGAAATTTTCAATAATTTAGAGTTAACTGTGAAAATTGGACCTATGCCACATTTATATGTGTATGTTACTCTATTCTTACAGGAAATTAAAGGAAAATAGTTGGAGCAGTTTTTGAGAAACTTGAAAATATCCGGGGGAGCTTCATGTAAAGTACTCCGAAATTTTAAAGAATGTTTTTCTGAACGAATGAAATCTCCAAGTATCGACTCGAGCCACATGGACTGGGATTTCTTCAATTGGAGAAGATCCTACCCATAGTTTAGGCACTAGTTGTTGTCACAGACATCAGATGGGGGGACAGACAGATGGACGTTATGAAAAAAAACACCCACACTTTCGGAATCACGGTTCCCCAAGAAGTGTATTTCCGTCAAAATCATGGAATCTATTTTCTGCAGCATTACATATCTTTCTCTGTACTACATATATTACCCTGTATATACTCATGTATATGGGAAAGTGAAATGTCATAACCCTACTGCCGATGTTTCATTAATTAATCGAGATTTAAAAGTTAAACAATTTGTTCCTTTTAACATTGAAAGTTATGCATTAATAAATATTGACCATAATCCTATACTGAGAATGTGCAGCTGAGCTGTAGAGTTGTGAATGGTTCTGAACTTCATATTTGTGAAGTGAATATCTGTAAAGAGCCTCAAAATAATCTTGTTTTGAAAGTTTAATTATAATGAGAAGTGTTTTGTTCTTGCATTTGTTTGGGAGTTGTTTGCATAGCATTTTATAATTGATATATTTTTACTATTTTTTAATAGCATTTTATTTTAAGAATTGATATAAAATTATTTATATAAATAATAATTCAATATCCTTAAATTGGAATGAATAAATAAATAAAGTAATAAATAATATATAAAATCTAATTATTCTTAAATTTGTTTCAGCTCAGTTAAATTGTTACCAAACTATTAATTTGGGCAGAGGATTTTCTTTGTGTGTACATCTTGCTCATCTCTTCGAAAGTACAGATATACTGTTATTGTGTGCAACTGATGATTCAAAAGTACACATATATGTATCAAATTTGAAAGATAAGTTTATGAAAGTTCACTCTTTGATGGGGCATGAAGACTGGGTTCGTGCATTGGATATTACTAAATATGGTAATTCTTAATATTTTAATTTTACTTTAATTTTAAAGTTCTGGTTTCAAATGCTATGCAATCTGTTTACATTAATGCATTCTTTTACTATTTTGTATTAATAAATGAAATTTTTTGTTAGATTTTGATAACTTTTGGTGTTGAATGATATAGAAAAAATATAATTATTCTGTAATGTTTTGTGGGAAAGATTCAAATGTACTGAAGAGTTAGAACTGGTAATCATGTGAGAAAAAATGTTTAATGTATAGTTTTATTCCTTAGCTTAACAAATGTGTATAAATGGACTTACTAAGAGGGAATGACCAAAGCTGTGGAAAAATAATTCATTCCTTAATTACTGTAAGATTGAATTCTGTTTTACGGATGTTGTTCCAATTGTGCCCGTGTTGAAATACTTTGCAGATTTATAATGTTGAAAATGTTTTTATACCACACAGTATTCACTCTTTCATTGTTAATTTTTCTTGCATAATCATAATCGTTAATTATGGACAGATAATTTATTTTGATACTGTTTTGGAAGATAATCTGTAGGTATTTTCTTAGATTCTTCATTTGTTACGAAACTTACAGATATTCAGCAAACTTCCCAATAATTGGTTGTGGTTCATTGTTAAGAAAATATCACATCTCAGGAAATAACATCTCATATAATAGCTTATTCCTTATAATATTTCTAAGGAAATTCTAACAAATTTATATTTGTGACTTAACTAACTTTTTTAATTTTTTTCTCCGAGATTCTAGCAGATTACTCATAGCCACAGGTTCTCAAGACAGTATGATTCGTTTGTGGCAATTGACTGTTAGAGATAGTGCAACAAAAGAGCAAACTCTTTCTTTAAATGAAGATATCCAACCTGAAAAAGAAGAGTTCTGTGTGAAGGGCAAAACCTTTGCTGTTACTATGGAGTCTGTATTAACAGGCCATGATGGTTGGATTTATAGTGTTCGCTGGCATGTATCCAATGGTAAGTATCTCTTATAGTTAAGTAAAGAAGTTAATAAGTGTTATTTGTCTGTGTATTGCATACAAGTAAGAATGTTTCTCTGACTGTATCTGTGAAGTTGAAAATTTATGGATGCAATCTTTACATTCCTATTATTTGGGGCAGAATTGGTGCCACTTAAGTTCTTTAAAATTTCCTCTACTTTATCAATTTTGTAAGATTTTTATAGTTTTGCTCTGTCCATTTTCATTTAAATTGTATGTAACACCTCTTCACATCTCACTCCCTGGGATCTGTTAGAAATGACTTTTCGCAAAGTATTTTACCTGATTGTTAAAAAAAAAAGTAATAACTACCTCATATTATGAAGTAGATATATAAATGCACAACTTCTAAAAATAAACTCTAGACAGGTGGCAAGCTTCTTAATACCTAATTATTGGCACTAGATTGAAAAAGTACAGGATTTTTGTGTGAATAATTTTTATCATGGAATTCATGAAAGAAGTTGATATATTTTCATTTAACTGAATTAAGTTACTTTGATGTTTCTTTGATCATAGTGAATAAGCTGATTAGTCTTAAAAATTTAATTCTACAGGAGACCAAAAAACAACTTTAACATAAGTAAATCAGAGATTAATGATATTCAAATGATACTATTTGTGTGTAGGTTTCGCTTGAATATCATTTATCTCTAATTTATTTCAGTGGAAAATTGTTTTTTGCTTTTGCTTTCCTCTAAAATAAATATTCATGACTTATCAGCTTATTCTCAGAGATCAAAGTTTTAATGATGTAATCTTCAGCATTTTTCTTCAAGTAATGTCTGTTTTTTTTTTATGTAAGGGGACTGTACCACAGTGAAGTTACTCTCAGCATCCCTTGACAAAAGTATAATTGTGTGGTCACCTGATCTTCAGACCGGCTTATGGTTAGAGAACATGCGAGTAGGAGATATGGGTGGAAATACTCTTGGTTTTTATGGTGGTTTGTTTTCCCCTGATGGATTGAGTATACTTGGCCATGGCTATCAAGGATCTTTTCATTTGTGGACCCTCTGTCCTGTAAGTATTGAAAGGACAAAATAAAAGTGTGTGTCTACTGTAGTTCTTTTGAAGTTGTCAGTTAGAGTATTTAATTTTTGGTATTCTCTAAGAAATTAAGATTATCTACTGTCCTGCATTTCAAATATTAGTCCAAAATTAAGCAGTATAGGATTGTAATAATGTCTCCAAGATAGATAAGAATCTATTGGCTCTGGTTGAAGAAGTCTACATCTTTTTCACAGTTAAAGATAACGTTATGGACTTGTTCATCTGATACTGCTTTTTTCACTTCCAAATTTGTCACTTCAGTTGTTTACTACCTCTTTTACTACTGTGACTTTCAGCAACATGCATTCAAATCTTCAAAGTTCTTCCATGACATGTATTAAAATTAATTTTTTTAAGCATTTAGTTGAAGTAAAATCTAACTTCAGTGGCATGCACATTTCTCTGTTTTGATTAAAATAAGTGAGACAGAACCATCATTAATTGTATTGATATATTACACAATTTTCTTGTAAAATCAAATTTATCTTGTACAGGATAATAAAGTATGGGAACCAAAAGTGACAATTGGTGGGCACTTTGAAGAAGTTGTAGATCTACAATGGGAACCTGGTGGCAGATATGTTCTGTCTGTGAGCAAGGACCAAACCACACGCCTGCATGCTCCCTGGGTTCATGGAAATAATAAGGTGCATTAGAAAACATGCATTTTAATTTTTGTAATCTTTCCCAAACAGTCTTAATACTATTTTCACAATTATGTTATCCATTTATTTCTCTTAGTTCCCCCTCAGATCCACAAAATGTTTTTTCTTGTTTCATTTGTTTTAGCGTATTTTTATAAATCATATTATTTGTTTTTAATGCAAAATCTAAGTAACTTTGTTTTCCCTTTAGGTTACTTGGCATGAAATTGCTAGACCTCAGATACATGGTTTTGATATGTCATGTATTGCAATTCTCTCTCTAAACAAATTTGCCTCTGGGGCTGAAGAGAAAGTCATTCGTGCTTTTCAGGCTCCTAATAATTTTCTGGAAAATTTCCAAAGATTGTGCAAAGTGGAACTCAGTGGCTTGAAACCAGGTATGTATGATGATACACATTTGCTTGCCCCTACTCTATTTTTTTATTTTTAATGTTTTACTATTTTCTTTCTAGTGAACACTCCAAGAGGTGCATCGGTCCCAGCTTTGGGTTTATCAAACAAAGCCGTGTATGAAGATGAAGAACTTCCAACAGAACGGCATGTTAAAGATGAATTTCCTGCTGCTTATTTTGTTCCTCTTGAATTAAAAGGTAACTTTTACTTATTTAGGTTGAGGGCCTTAGAAATCCCATAGTATTTGTTTTAATGAATGTACTCGGCTTGAAATGTTCTTAGTATTACTGAGAACAACGTCTTGTAGAATGTAGACTTGTAGAATTGTAAATCTCTTCTAACATTGTTCATACCATGCTAAACTGCTTGCTTTGCCTGGTGTCCCTTAAAATTATTCTCGCAATGTACTGTATTATTCTCGCACTGTATGCTGGGCTAGTGAACTTTGGGATATTTAGGGCACTGACATGATAGGGATACTGTTTATGGAGTTCGTCACTGTGCATAAAACGTGTACATGTCACAAACATCCACAAAGCAACAGTTACTCACCCGAAGGTTGTAGGGAGAAAAGAGCAGTTGACATCAATTGATATGAGTGTCAGGATTACTGAATTTACTCAAAAATGTTGGCTCTCAGTTAAGTAGCCCAGATGCAAAAGCTGCTAATTGAACTTTTTTTTCGATTTTGAGTTGGGCACACTGCCTTTCAGAATTTTTCAGCTCCTACATGATGGAATAGGTTTCAAGGTGAAAAACCCGCTATAAAGTACTGAAAATGACTGTTGAAAATTGTTTGGTTCAAATTGCTGCTAACTGCATGTTCTTTTTGGGTGCAAAACCTGCCAAATTCAACAAACAAGGCAGATGCTATGCCATGTCTGGATGCAAAGCATGCCAACTGATGTCAATCTTGCCCAACTAGACTTTTTATTTTTTTAAAATTTGTTTACATTCAAAACAGTTAAAAACTATATGACATGCTATGGGGGGAAGTTTATTTGAAGATACATTTATGTCCAGAAGCAAAAAAGGGGCCTTCTCAGCATTTCCTCAAGGATCAGGGAAACTGGACAAAAACCTGATCGAGATGGGGGTCATTTTCCCAGAAGCTGAAGTGCAATACTTGTTACAGGTTCTTTAGAATTTTACAATCCAAATGGTAAATAATACATTAAATGTCACTGTTCAAATTAATACTACTTTCCTTTTGGATGCTCTCTATAGTCTCTAATTGTATAGAAACAGTTGTGCAGCAGAAAATATTTTACTTGGGACTTCAACTTTTGTATTGAATTTAATCATTTAATGTCATCTGCCAAGGAGTTGTAAAATAATGTACATGATTTGTATGTGAATTTTTTGTAGTGAGCCGTTAATACTGTCTGATGAATATGATTAGTATGTTGAGTGTTGTAGTTATAACATTGGGTGTTTGCTGAAAAATATTTCCCGCCCTTAAGTAAGTCATTTTTGAAAAAAACCACTTATTCATATATTAAGAGCAAGGTAATGGTAAAATACCTAGATTAATAAAGAGAGGCTTGCAAGAATCACGTGGGTGGGATTTGCTTATTCGTAAAATTCTTTTTTGTAATCTAAAAGTCTTGTAGTTATAAGATTCATTTCCCCAGAATATTATGCCATATCTGAGGTGGGAATGAACATTTGCAAAATATACATAAGCAGTATGAAGGCTGGATGAATTTGAAAGATTTCTGAAAGCGTAGCTTAAAGAACTTAGTGTTCAATTCATTTAAATCAGCGTTCCATTTAAGGTTTGACTGAATTGAAAGACCTAAAAATTTTGTTACCTTAACATCAGTCAATGACACAACTGTTCATATTCAAAGCTAACTTCAATTTGTTAGGGTTAGGAGCAGACGTGTTCTACACAAACTGAAAGAAAATAACAAGGATGAATTAACTCCATTGCCAGTGCAAGCAGCCTGTTATTCCTGTCAAATGTACCTTAACAACTTTACAGTGTGCCAAGGCTCCTCAGTCTCCCCAGAACTCAAATGCAGTGTTTCCATACATTTGGTTGGAACATGAATATGCCGATGGATCAAAACCAAATAGCATCAATGGTTCACTACAGACTAACTCATCTAAACGTTGAAGAAGCAAAAAATGTTGGTTGTTTTGCAAGGGATGTGGAGATTGAAATAAAAACAGGTTGATGATCAGCATGCTATGTCACTGGTTCTCAAAGCTCCAAACAATCTAGAAAAAATATAACTGTGATTCCCGTTAGTGGGCCACACATTCATCCCATCTGACAGAGTTTTTGGTAACATCAAAAGACAACTTCCCAAGTTCCAGATTCAAAAAGCAAAAAAAAAAAATTTGTGTTCAAGAAAAGCTAAAACAAGATTTGTCTAGTTTGTAGAGAGCTCTTCTACAATATTGAAGCTAAAGATAGGAATAGCATCCTGAAGGGGGGGGTGTCAGTAAAGCAAAATGCATAACTCCAGTCACTGCAGGTTTACAAGTTTCAGAAGTGAAACTCGGAGACGTCAAAAAGCTTCTCTTCACTTGGGTGAAAACTGGGCGGCCAACAACAAACTCAAATTCTTGATCGAGGTGTTCGATGAACAGGAAAGCTCTGCTAGAGTTGTTTGTGCTGCTGCCAACTGTCACAACAGGAGGAATTTGGAAGAAGAAGGAATTCTGAGCTGATGGAGAGTGTTGAAGTCAATGTCATTTAAAACAGATTTGCAGCCAATTGTATTTCCTGCAATTTTTTGTTGCTGTTTTAACCAAGATGAAATTTGGAGCTTTTTAATTTTCTGCAGTAAGCTGTGATGTCGAAAGCACAATGCATGGTGAAAAAAAGAAAAGAAAAAAATCTAATGTAGAACATTCATTTTCATACTCTTTTTGAGGTAAGCAAGTCAGGTTTTCCTTGTAAAATATTCGTATTTTTATTTGCAAATTTTGTAGAATTTTCAAACTTCTCTTTGAACTAAAACATATTCCATTTATATTTGCAATAATTAAATTCCATTGTTTTGTTATTTCCCACATATCACCAAGTAGTGGGTTTTGCAACCAAACGTTTGTTTTATAATAGGACCGATACGTTTGCAAACCTCGCTAACTGTGTAAATCGGGTGTAGAAAATGCCAAGTCAATATTTCACTTAAGATTTTAACGTATAAAACATAATCGCCGATTCCAGCCATTAATACCGAGTATTTTTTTATATTAAGGATAATTTGGATGTAATGAGTTTTTTCGCGATTATCTCAGTTTCGCTTATCATGCAGTTAGCGACTTTTCCAACTGGACTACTCAATTTAAGACAACCCCCTAATTTTGAAGATCTTCAGAGAGTTGTTTAAAATTCTTACCCAAATCGTTCTATTTAGTCAGTAAAATTACAAATTGTCTTGTTACCTAGAAAATTGCAAGTTTAATGATAAAATTAAGACGTATTGCTAGAACTGTCATTTTCTTATTCCTTAAAATCATTATAATAATCATCTTCCATTTAGTGACATCTGACTTTTTGAGCCTCTCTAAAAGTTTTGTGTATTGAATTTGCATTGTTCTTAGTCTTGAATCAAATGCAAGAATATTCCCTTGTTTATCACCATATTTTGTGTCCCACACGTGATGATGGCTTCTGTTTCTGTCTCCCAATCCATTCAAAAATATTGGTCTGAACGGCCTGGCAAATTCACAGTGGATCTGGGAATAGGACCGCAAATATAAGTACATATTGATGATAGGGGTGATGTTTTTACTGTCGTCTTCACTTATTGTTACGACAACATTTATGTGTTTCATTACACAAAAAGGCAATATTAACCCTTAATCATATGCTTAATTTGTAAATATAAGATGACCCCACATTTTTTGACATGTGTTTAGGAAAAGACATCATTTTATATTCTGTTAATATGGTAGTATATCCTTCCATTGATAACTGCAACTGAAACAAGATAAAGAGTTGCTGTGTTTGTCAAAATAATTTGTTTGGATATATGAACTTTGTTTCAAAATAACATCTGGTAGTTTACAATTCATTGTTTTTGGTCAGTTTTTTTTAAAAAGAATCATAAAATCTTGTCTCTATATTGTAAAAATCAGGTTTTTTCAGTACTATAACTAGACTTGTGGGTTTTTATTTGTTACTCACAAACACTTTTTTAATTTTTTGTCACAGTTCCAAGTATTGTTGAACACAATGTATTGTTTACACAATGTATCTGTTAAATTAAGATCAAATGAGGAGATGAACCGCAGTGAATTTGTTCTGCAGAACCTCCCACAGAGGAGCATTTGATGCAGAATACATTATGGCCTGAAATACAGAAATTGTATGGTCATGGGTATGAGATTTTCTCTCTTGCTGCACATCCCAGTGGTTCCCTTCTTGCCTCAGCATGCAAAGCTACAAATGTGGAACATGCAGCGATAATTCTCTGGTAAGCAATTGGGTATTATTTTGTTAATTCAAAGCATGCGTTTCTGTTAAATGTTCTTCATACCAGACAATTAGTATTGAAATATTTCATTTTATTAAGATGTGTACATTTTTGTTTCAAGGAACACTTCTAGTTGGCAGCAACAGCAATCGCTTATATCTCATCAGCTAACAGTCACACAGTTATCATTTTCTCCTGATGGGAAGTATTTATTATCTGTGTCAAGAGATCGACTTTGGACTTTATTTCGAGATTCAGGTATTAGTTCTGTTTAATGTAGAATGAAAAATCGATTTTCTGAAATACTTTTTTCCTACTGTGCTTTAGAATAAGTTGATGAAGAATAGTTGATAAATGCGCTGGTATTAGGGCAGAGTAGAAGTAAACTGGTATTGTTAAATTGCAAAGACAGCTTGCAACGATAACAGTGATACTCTGCAGTTTCTTGCTAAATCAATCAATATGGAATTGTGTTGTATGAAGTAATTGTCTGATGTAATTGTGTAGTGGACTCATCTTAACTGCCCACTTAAGTAATGGAAACTGAACCTGTCAATGATTGGGCTGGTTAAACTGTAATTCTCTCACTAGTTTTAAAATACACATCCTAATCATTATTATTAGTATTCAACTGAGTATACAGGCTTCTGTATTGTAGGATGACTTGTACAAATATTAAAACTTAAGTGGAAGATATTCCTTTTCTGGAGAAAAACAAATACTACATAGGTTGTAGTCTGGTATTTACGGTTATGGTAGTTACTACTTCTACATAAATGTGTTAAACCTTATTAAATTGGCCAAAATCACACTCAGCACAACACAATTCTGTACTGTAATTATAAAAAAATTAACTCTAAGAGTAATCTATTTACTGCTGTTTATTTGATAGTAAAAACACTTCGCAGAAAGGTCTCAGAATCATTGTCTCAAACTTGTTGCATACAATTAAAGCTATATTAAGCCTACTATATGCAGGAAGGCATTAATTGCATCCCTTTCTTGTCAGGAAGAAATTTAAAACTAATTAGTAAAGTCAGATGTTTTTGAACTGAAATAATCACTGTTTTTTATGACCATTTTATGCTGCAAGATTTGTAACTTAAATAGTCGTAGAGAATTAGTTTCTTTAATCTCCTTCTCACTCAGGAATAATGCTTTGTTAAATTATTTCCAAAGTTCCTGAAGAAAATTAATATATTTCAGCTTTATTTTCTGTTTAAAAATAATCTATTTTTCCTTCACAGAAACTGGTTTTGAATTGATTTCGAAAACAAATAACAAGACAGGTCTTCATTCTCGTATTATTTGGACTTGTGCATGGAGTGCAGATTCAAAATATTTTGCAACAGGATCACGAGATGGCAAATTATGTATTTGGAAACCAGAAATTGGAGAACCAAAAAACATGTGTGTGCTTGAACTAAAAGGATCTTCAATCACTGCAGTTGCGTTTCAGCCAAACACAACTGATCAAAAGTATTTGTTGGCTATTGGATTAGAAACTGGAGATATAATTTTGTACTGTTGGTTTCTCACCTCTGCAGTGTTGGAAAAGGTACATCAATTGGACAGAAAGTATCCTTTACATATTGTGGTTATTAAAGTGAGGCATGTTATTGTTATATATTGATGTTCTTTTCTTATTTCATTTCAAATAGGAGTAATTAGTAGTTATTGCTCTTTGTTGTTATTTATTTTTCATCTGTATAGATTTAGAATATTTCATATTGTTGAAAGTTCATTTTAATTGTGAAGGTGTGAGATTTACTCTGAAAAGCGGCTTCTGTGTGGGTGAGTGTATGCAATATTTGAGGGAACTATTACGGGTTTTGAAAGTTTAAGCCAGTTCCTGTCACCTACAGAATTGCAATTGAATCAGCAAAATAATTGTTATGCCCATTGAAAATAATATTTATAAATATAACAGTTCCAATTGAAGAGAAATAACAATATAATACATTACGTGGTATGAGTGATATGATACAATATAATATCATATGCCTACAAGGAAAACCTGCTAACCTCATTTTTAAGCGAAAATACCTTTTTGTGTCATCCAAACAAGTAAATAGAATTTTTTGCTCTGCAGTCTGTGTGAACGTGCTTAGTGATATCTCTAATCAATCTCTCTATTAGATATATAAACCGGTAGATATGTTCTAATTCTTCAGTTGACAAAGTATTGAGAGGGAAAACCCTCTAAAAACATGTAGCTTATTCTCCCTAAGAATATTTCTTGATATTTTAATTGAATGATTTAAGAAAATCTGCCAACTCCAAGTGTAAATATAATGGAAATTCCAGAACTTATTTATCTAAATTAAATGGGAGCAAAAAAGTTTGCCAGTGATTTTTTTTCTTAAAACTATATGTGAAGGTAAAACTTCAGTTGAAACAGATTTCAAATGGAGAAAGTGTAATCTTCACTCGCAAAGACAAAAGAAGAAAGCAACCACCAGCAAATATAACACAACCCAGTATAACTGAAGATGTAAAACTAGTTCGAAAATTTCTCAACAATAAACTCTCATTATTGAAGAAAGTTTACGCAGAGATAAGATTTGAATCGGAAACTGAGTATAAATGAACTGTATTAGTGATAAAAGAGGAGGTATGAAGATGAAGGATGATCTGTACCTGCATCACTTATTACTTACAGACATATTTTCTGTAATGATTATAAATTACCATTGTTTAAATCCAAGAAAGATCAGTGTCTACTCTGCATAATACATGAAAGTGCAAAAGAAGTTCAAACACCTGAAGCTTCCAAAAATTACGCTGCACATATGCAAAGAAAAAAAAAGACTGGAAATAGCCAAATCCAAGAATAAGAGAAAGCAATTAGTGATGCAAATTTCATTTCAGTCACATGCAACCTGCAGTCGGTACTACAAATACCATCTTCAAATGTCAGCCAAATGTACCATAGTAGATAACTCTGGGTTTATAACCTAACAATTTATAAATGAGCTTTAGGCCACCTTGGTAGATCTATGGAATGGTTTAATTCTTGGTCTACCCAATACAATCACAGTGCCATATCATGCAAAAACAGTTTTGAGAAATTTCTTATAATTTTCTGGTTGGGTCAGAAAGCAAATTATTAGTTCCCCACCAGAAGGCAAAGACACATCGAACAGTACCTTATTTATCTCGATTGGTGGACAGGATGTGGTCCAACCATGAATGACAGACACACAGACTGACACTTGCATTTACTCAAATACTGTATAGAAATAATCACCGGCATCAACATAATAAAAATTTCAGTATTACGCAATTATTTTCAGTTCTCCACCAATTCACCTATGGGTTAATTGAATACCTATTGGCAAAATTGTTGTAACCCTCAAAATGGAAATTTAGTGAGAAATAAACTCATGACTTTCCTTTTCCAACATTTATGCATCTGTGAGACTCATCACGAAATTAAAATGCAAATGGCACTTAGTATTCGTTTGTCAACATATTTTCCAACATGTCGCACATACAACCACATACAACCTTTATGTGAGGAAAACCAACATTTCTGAAAAATGAAGGTTATAAAATTGCCGGCAGGTCTTCAGTTATAAAATAATTTAGCTTTAACAATATTTGAAATTTCATGTTTTTGCCCTAGCCCATATATTTCAATATATACTTCAAATCCTTCCTAATTTACAATTCATATTGTTATTATTACAACAGATATTATTCAAATGATTCTACCATAGTAGTTGTTAGCTATACATGAAATTGATTGGTGAAGATGTGGCATGTCTTCCTGTGCAAGAAGTCATGGTATTGGTTGGGTAGAAGCACGAAGTTTACAAACTGTCAACAGTCAGATTTTGTGTCAACAGTTAGATTTTCAATCGATCCAAACCATTGACTTTAAACTAGTGAGCACAGTTAGGTAGAACATAACTGCATTCTTACTTTTGCATGTACATTCTCACATTTTTGTAACAGGTACATAATATTATAATACCGCTAGTGCATTTTTGTATTTTTTGTGTTAATTATAAAGATTTAAAAGGTGTACATCAAAATAACAATATTGAAGATACAGATATTTTCTTAATATGAAATTATTTTCTTTAATTGAGGTCAAGTTCATGTAAAGGGAGAGGGGGGAAAAAATGTATTTTTCTTGTAATTTTCATAGGAATATGAACTATATTAAAAACAAGATATTCTCAAAAATGGCTTCTAATTTTTTCAGTGAACTTGTAAAGATGCAACTAAATGCACTGAATAACATAACAAAAACGCTATTTTGATGTAGTCTTTTGACTTTCGAAAAATTACACAAGTATCATTTTTTTTAAAACTACCTTTCGCCTTGTGAATATTTATGTTACAGACTTTCTTTAAGCATTATTAGGTTTGTGAGTTCAAGAGCCTCAAATGATATCTTATGAAGTTTCTCAAAACCGAAAAGTTATGTGCAAAATGAACTCAAGATTGCTCATTTTCTAAAACATTTAAACATTTTCTCAGAAAATCTGGAAATTGTTCAATCAATTTTTCAACGGAAAAATACATAAAAGTTGAGGTATTACTCTTCTATAATACTCTTGTTGTGTTTCAATGGTACTATTAGGGATCTGAAAAATTGAGAAAATGTGAGAAAACCTTTTTTAGAAGCCAATAGTAGGGAGGTGGGGCAAAACCAAATAGCTAGCCGAATCTGTTTTTATATTTTATACATGTTGCAATTTTTTAAATATTATTGCAGCTTTTCTGTAATATTATTTGAGGATCTTTTTATTTTGTTTGGCTTGTGTGGGGGAAGCAAATGCATTGATTCTAATTAGAACCCTTGGAAATTAATTTTGAAAAATTTATTTACGAAAAATGGGAGGAGCTATAACTTCGACTACTTTTATTTGCAGTACACTTTGAGATAATACATCAACATCAACATTAGTTTTGTCTCATCAGATGCCAATGGTCTCTCCTGTGAACATTGATTTAATGATTCATTCATTTTATGTTGATTTCTCCTTAACATATTTCCTAGTAATGCACATCATCTGGCAGTCAAGCGTGTAGCATTTCATCCCCTGGATGGATCACTCCTGGCAAGTTGTGGTGTTGATTGTTGTGTGAAGATTTATAAGTTGTGTGAATGTTGAACTTGCTTGTAATAAAATATTTTATAGAAATGTATGGTGTTTTCAATAACATTTTACTGTTAATTTTTGGCCTTTTGTTGGACATTAGAATGTGAATACACATATTGTTTGTCAGTTGTAAAACATTGTTCTAATTTTTTTTACATTCTTTTCAATACATTTTTCAAACATTAGAAAATAAATTTAACATCAATTTATATTATTTTGAAACAACACACATCTTTTTACTAATCAAACTTGTATGTAATGCTTTCAAATTCATTCCAAATATTATCATCATTCCTTATCATAACATATTGTAATATAATTTCCTTTTAAATCTGACACAAACTGAATGGTATAACACCGGCCATTCAGTTCACTTTCGGATTGCAACTCTCCACAATAAGAAAATAAAAGAAATTGTGCAAATTCTTTAATGCATTACTTCCAATTTGCCTAATCTATTCTTTATCATTTTCCTAATCATGCCAATAAATGACTGTACAGGTAATTAGAATATTTTATTTGCAGGAATATATACTGCTTTTATTTTGATTGACAAATATGAATTTTTTAATTTTCTTATTCGGCCTATTCTCATACTGCTCGTACGACAACTAGTTAAAAGTGCGTCGCTGCTTGGGCCGCCAGGCCCGGTGGATAATGTGGGTATGGTGGATAGCTATAACCACTCGAAAAATTTACGAGTGGGTGAAATACCCACTCGGAATAAACGAAGTTTCTTGGTATTGCTTTGTCTTCAAACATAGTATATCAACTATATCAGGCTCAACAGTATTGCCATTTTACATTTTATTGCGACACGACCGACAAAATTGTTTTGAAAAATTGTTGAGAGTTCATATAAAAACGTACAAAGCGCAGCGCTGCTAAAGTGACATAAAATGAATGTGATGACAATTCAATGATAAACATGACGATTTGAAACATTGTTATGCATTTTCACCTTCCTGCACACATTTGGTGGATGAAGGGACACAACCATCTGATTGAATGTTTATTTAAGAGAACATATTATTACCCATATATGTATGGTGAAAAGTAAATCACCTGTGGTAACTTACTAAACACCTTAACCCCAGTCAACTATCCATTCGGACTACACAATCGCCAGCTTTGTAGGCCACAGCTTATATAATGTGACATGAGGGCTCCAAATACATGGAGTATATCGAGAGCTTTTGTGCCAAGTTGTGTGTTTATTCTACGACAATAATGTGGAACATTCAATATCGCGACCATTAGAGTACTCTCTGGTCGCGACCGATTTGTCGGGAGGGAAAATTCGATCAACGCATAGTAATATGCATTTTACTGAGTCCATGATTTTTGCTTAATTTTGTGAAACTGGAAAATTGGTATCCTTTGTACGCTGAGCGATAGTGCCTGTGCTGACATGTCCAAATGGTTTTCCTGACTTTTGGTTACACATACGCATGTTTTGATGGAGAGCGCGAGGTTTTGAACGTTCGTTTCGGAATATAATATTGTGCTACAGATAGTGAAAAATAATGGAATTACTCTACGAAGATTTCTGACTTCTATGCCATCTACCCTGTCGAGCCTTGAGATGTAAGTTCATAATTCTTTATTTCAATCTTAAGAAATTAATTTTCTGTTTGATTCCTAAGGAAAATTAGTGGTGTCACTACTTTGCATCAATTGCAACGAGGACAATATTATAATACTGATTGAACCCACAAAAGTGTTTCCAATAGATAATTTTTTCGTACGCATTAGGATTCGAACTTAGTTCCTTCAGTTAAGCAAGCACTTTCCCGCTATTCCTAATACCTGTCTCGTACGTGCGTTCCTCACGCTTCAAAAAGAAAGTTGAATACAGTTGCTCACACTAGCTCACAATAGCCGGACAGCCACAAATACTGAAGGCGTTTCTTGTCTGAATGTAATTTTTCGCACGTGCGCGGAAGTTACATGTGAGAAAAGTGACTGACTTAATGTGCAAAGGAACTGTGACTTTATTATTAGGAAACAATAATACAAATAAAATGTTTCTGATGCACAACATACGTTTTATAAACACGGATTTATGTGTGAATATGCAAAAATACGAAGTCGCATAAATATTCGAACACGTAATGAAAAAAGGCCTCTTACCCCCTTGCCACTCTCCCAGATGGCGCAATAAGCGCACCATCCTCTTCCTAAGTCAAACGAAATTATAGTCAGCCAGTGGCTGTAAATATTTCCGCCTGGAAACATCTCTTGTAATGAGGCACAAGGGAAAGAACTCGACGTTCGAGCAGAGGCAACTTGTGGTTTTTCACCACGCAAAGGGACGCTCTTGCTGGGAGATCACAAATCTTTTACTCATGAGCAAGAGCAGAGTGCACGATATAATTAAGAGATTTGAGGAAGAAGACAGAATTGGACCTAAATCGAAACCAGGACAACGTAAGATCTGCGAAAGAGAGCAACGTGAAATTTTGAGGAAAGTACGAGAAAATCCGAAGGTGAGTGCCGTCCAGCTGGCAGCAGGACTGCGCAAAGCGTCAGGGACATCTGTGCACCCCGAAACAGTGCGCAGAGTAAATACGAATGCCGGATATCTCGGCAGAGCGGCCAAGAAGAAACTCTTTATCGGTGCTGGGAATAGAGCTAAACGACTTCAGTTTGCGAAGGAATACGTAACGAAATCAGAGGAGTGGTGGCGTGAGGTAATTTTTGTAGATGAGAAAAAGTTTAATATTTATCAGTGACGGTAGGAAAATGATTTGGCGAAAATCAAATACAGAATTGCATCCTAAAAGCGTAGTGTAAATTGTGAAACTTGGAGGTGAATACATATTGGTTGGGGGTACTGGCGTGGGGGAGATGGTGTTTGTTAAAGACACAATGGTCAAACATCAGTATCTCAACATTCTGAAACAAATTCCCCAAAATTTGCTGACACGAGGCATCAGGAACTCGTTTAAGTTTTATCAAGACTACAATCCGAAACACAAATCGTATTTAGTGTGCGAATTGTTGTTTTACAATTGTCCGATAGAACTGAAAGCGCCGTCCTAGCCTCCTGACCTCTGTACATTTCAATTCATGTCAAATTCTTTATTGGACTGTCAGGAGAATCACAATTACGTCAAAGTCCCATCTGCAAGCTAGAATCCAGGAAGAATGGACACAAATTGGGCAACAGTACACGAGGATTATTGGTTCAATGCCAAAGCAATTGCAGCAAGTCATTGACTGCAATGGTTAAGTTACAAAGTATTAATTTTCTTTTCGTTTGTATACGTATTTATTTATTCATTTATATTATATTTCATATTACGTGTCCGAATATTACTGTGGCTAATGAATCCAGGCAATTTTATTGGTTTAGTTTTCATCGAATGCGTCGACTACATTCTCCATTTTTGTTTTCTTTATACTATTATCCGTTAATAAAGAAATAATTCTGCTTCACTTTCTTGCATATATGTTTTTCCTACAACTGTCAAAATATCGCAGAATTTACGATTTCTAGGGTATATCTGAGTGTCCGAATAATAAAGTGGGCCACTGTATCTTCAATTACCGAAAATTCAGAGATATCGACGAAAATCAGGCTAAAGATTTTGTAAAGGTAAATTTCTTTAAGAAACTAGAGGCATGCAAGAATACATGTTGTTCTTTGCTGGAGCTGGTTGGAAATAATTACGTAATATTGTAATTTCTGCCATACTAAAATCTCAGTTACAACTTGAAAGTCTAATTCAATCAATTCATACGAAGCGCTTATGATGCATATCGCGTTTATTTCGAGAGGCAGGAACAGTAGTCATTTTTAACTTTTACAAATGAAACAAACATGAATAAATTTAACTAATACAGCATTTGCAGCACATTATACAGGAAAGAAAGAACAATATTTTACACACGCTTGCCATGATTACATTGAAGTGAGCTAACAATCGGACAACAAGAAATCGGTCGAAAATAAGAGATTGAAGCTCTCAGGTTTGTAATGGCACCTGCCATATTGGGCAAAATCGAGATTGGTCTCTATAAATAAGAGGGAGTACGTAGCTCTATCCCAAATAATTTCAAGAAAGGACAGCTATTAATAATAGGAATATTGTGACTGTGTATCTTGGAAATCTAGACCCACTGGTATCGTGCGATCCTACCTACATTCTAAGAGGGCCACATCTACTGAGGGAGCTCTCCTGGTCCATTCACTAACTTGGGTCCCAAATGACTTTACTCTTCCACTGGAAGGGAACCTCTGCGAGCTAAAGCGAATCAAGAAACCCCCTGAAATGCGAAACTCCACTTGTTCTTTAAGTTTCCATAATTCCTCTTACTTGGAATGTCATGCCTATCGAGAAGACAAAATTTTATTTTTAGTTTTTATTCTTTATATCTGCGTTATATTCGGAGGCTTATTCGTATATTTTTCAAAAATTTTTGGTTTTGATTTATTGTCCAGGTGTGAAGATAAAACTAATTTTATATGAAATAACATTTTTTCTCATCTTCCGCGAAGAATTAAATTCTTGAAGATTCTCATTAAAGTTCTCTCAAACTATAGAAGTTACCAAAAACTACTTCGAAATGGATTGATACTATATCGCGAACGACTTTTTGCCAAGACCTGAAGCCAAGACGAATAAAAAATATTTTTTTAGTTCTAATTTCTAATTGTAACCATTGGAAAGATAAAAGCAAACATTGATTTTCTACTCGTAGCAAGAAGTTTCTCAAGAGACATTGAAGTACAACTGCATACCCATAAAAGTAAAATTAATGATAATCGGATTGATAAAAGTGGTCAAGTCGCAAAGTCGCTATCGAATTTTATATTCCTACTTTTCAGAGTTGCTTTATTTTTACACATATGCATATTGTGAACATAGGTTCAATTTAATTTTAGTGCTTTGCCAGTTTGCACAAAACAAACATATATACTAAATATTTTATCTCTACGCCTAAAAACTGTTGCCACTGCCTTTCGATACTTTTAAAATAAGTTCCATACTTACATCGGTTGAGGCGATGCATGCTTTTTCTCAGTTATTTGATTCACTTTGGTTGCGAGGTAAAGCATAAGGTCCTCGGCCGTCTGTAGGGTTTGAATTATGGTAAATATGCAAGACAATGAAAAACTATTTCATGATTTATTTTACATAAAATAAATTTACCTGGAATATTGATGTTGCTATGATTTGTGAGTCACCTCGGTTCGCAGTTTGTAATATTTATAAATTGTCTTCCTATGAGATCGTTTGCCTCTAACCTTCGAGGAAATTACATTCCACATGTACATATCCATCAACCAGAGAACTCTTTATTTTGAAATCGCCTTTGATCTTTTGTTTCAAGTAATTGCCATGACGATTTTCAAAACTCTAATACAGTTTATAATAGGTGCCTTGAATTACGCATACTGAGCTTGAAACATAGTTTGAAGGCTCTAATA